AGGTTATAAAAAGGGGGAACTGTAACATTGTGTAGAGGACAGCCCAGTCACTAAAATAGTAACAACAAACTACTGAGCTTCCTAATCCTAGTCATTACAGTAAGTGTTTTATGTGGACTATCTAAACTTGACAATAACCCAATAAGGTAGGTTTTAGGAGAATGATTTTATAGGCAGGACTCCGAACAGCTGTGTGGCTTGATCTGGCAACATAGCTATCTAATATGGCAAAGGTAGAAAACAGAATACTGTTCAAAATTACAGTTAGTATTGCCCAAAAATCCCACATGCTTTCTCAGTATGTAGTATGATAATCATCTGGGAAAGAAATATATACAAAGCATGTGAAGTCACAAAAATTTGTTAAATTGGGGGACCTTTTGAAGGAGCTATAAGTATGCTTTATAGAACATTAAAGAAATGGCTTTTTCTCCTATGCTTTAGTACAATAATTTATGAAAAGACATTCACCCTGCCAAGGAGGGGAAGGGAAAGCTGATTCTTTAACAAAGTGCTCAATTCAAAAAACTTCGAGCCCTTTTGAAGGAGCTGGAGAAAGAGACTCCGGGGTTACCTCCTTTGAAAAGAAAGTTCAAATTTTGGGAATATTCACGGTATTATAAGAAGCTGTGTGAGGCGACGGGCATATACAGAAAAGGAAGGCCAAGTGTAAGCAGAATGGAAAGGAGCTCAGAAGCCTTGGTGACTTTGAATGCTGAACCCCTTCCAAGTGGCCCAGCCTGTGTCACTGACTGTGAAAAAGCATCCTCAGCAGGACTGTGTACACTTGTATTCCATACTCTTTAGTCATATTTCCTTGCAAATAAAAATGCCTTAGCATTCTGGCCCTGGGGGTCAGAGACATGGGCCTGTGTTTGCCTAACCAATGGCAACCAGTAACCTTATCAAATAAACTTATTAATTAAAGTAGGGATATCCTCTACCGTCCTCTACATATTAACAGAGACTAGGCAGACCCCATCTGGCTATTAGTGCTAAACCCTAGAACCAAATCAAAACCAAAAACTAATAAAAAAAAAAAAGTGTGGCCAATAAATGGGCTAAGAGGTTAACAGTTACATACCTCCCCCAAATGTAAAGTGTTATTATTATTATTACTTATAGTGTCTCTTTTCCAGAAATAGCTTGGCTTAAGAATCAGAGTCAAATAATCTCCCTGTAGTGTATAAACCAGACTAGGAGCATAAATTAGGCCTTCCAGCTTTTCTTCCTAGAATGATATGATATAGCTATGTGTTCTAGAATTCTAAAATAATACATAAAACAACACCTGTAATGTGCAACACTCCATTGTGTAAAGGATCATAATTGTCTTTTGACATCAATTTCTCATTTTATAATTGCGGAATTTTAGCTACCCACAGAGCCCCACAGCGTAAAGTCTAGCTATTACAAGTAGGGGCTGGGGGCTGGGGGCTGGGGATATGACTCTGTTGGTAGAGTGCTTGTCTAGCATTCATGAAGCCCTGGGTTTGATCCCTAGCACTGTACAAACCAGATGAGATGGTACATACCTAGAGTCTCAGCACTTGAGAGGTAGACGTGGGAGGATCAGAAGCTCAAGGTCCTCCTCAATGACACTCCCAGTTCATGGGCTGCAGAAGTCCCTGTCGCAATGTGTGTGTATGTGTTTGTGTGTGGGGAGTGGAAGAAATCCAGAGTGAATGTATAAGGAGCAGATGAAGTTCAAGTGAACAGGTGTTGTTGACATAGACACCATGCCAAAGACACCAATTCCTCAGATCCATGGAAGTGGCAAAGCCCTCCCCTAGTAAGGCTCAGAGGCATGGGAAAGTCTTCCTCTGGTTCAAATATGATTATTGACAAATGACTAACCAGTGTGTACAAAAATCAACTACAACTCCTTCCAGAGGACTACAGCTTAAGACTGCTGCCCTGCAGAAACCTCCTATTGAAATTAGCTAAGCCTGCTTCTTTGTTCAACTGTGCACCATAAACCTGCCTCCTTATTCAGCTGTACACAATAACCCAGCCTCCTTGATTCAGCTGTGTAAAACAAACTGAGTTTCCAGGTTACGTAATTGATGCATCTCCCCCTGGACAAGAACATCCCACCCAATCTCAGCTTTGCTGTACATGTGTCTATCTCTCTGTCCTTTCTTCATTCCCTCATCACCTCTGTTATATCAATCCCAAAGCAGTGCTAGACAAAGTATGTGTGTGTTTAATCAATCATTGTGTGGTAGTTTTCAAATCTAAGAAACATCTCTTGCTTAGGGGAGGGAAACATTCGTGAGCCCCCCACCCCTAGCTGAAGAGCTATTGACAGATGATGTCTTCTAAGAAAGGGAGAATCAGTTTTCTTCGTGAGTATAGCCTCTGGTAAATAAACAGAGCTCTAGTGGGTGGCCCCATATCCATGAGTATATGAACAGCATAAATGAGATTCAGTGTGTTATTTAAAAAAAAAAAATGATACCCAATTGGAAAGAGGTCGGATAGTGAGATGGTTCATCTGGAAGGAGTTAAGGAGAAGACTAGGGATGAATGTGATCTAAGTGTATTGTGTACATTACAAAATCCATAAAGAATTCATCAAATATTGTATTTAAAATGGGATGAAATAGGAACAATTATCCATTGACACTAAAGACTAGGAAGTGAAAATAAAAGAAAGAGAGGCACTTTGGGAAGAGGGAGGGGCTAATAGGAGGTAGGAAGGACAGAAGAGGGCAATGGGGAAGAATTTCCTCAAAATACATGATATTAGGATGTTATTATGAAGCCCATCACTTTGTACAATAATTATATGCCAATAAAAATGTTTAAAAAGAAACAGCTATTGCACAGATAGTTTGGGTGCCATGTATATTCCACTCTTCTCCAAGTCGATGATGTCTTAGTTAGGGTTTCTATTGTTGTTATAAAATACCATGACCAAAGCAACTTAGGGAGGAAAGGGCTTATTTCTTCTTAGAGTCAGTAGTCCGTTATCTGGGGAAGTCAGGGTAGGAATGAAGACAAGAATTTAGAGGCAGGAAGTGATGCAGAGTCCACGGAGGGGTGCTGCTTACTGGCTCGCTCCTCATGACTTGCTCAGCCTGCTTTCTCCTAACTCCCGAGACCACCAGCCCAGGGTGGAACTTGGTTGGTTCCACAGTGGTTCACAATGGGCTGGACCCTCCCACATCAGTCACTACTCTTTAAAAATTGCTCAACAGACTTGCCTGCAAGTAGAGAGCAAAGAGCCTTGTGCACACAGATAAGCACTGGAGAAGCCAGGTAACAGCTTACCTCTTGAAAGGAATGAGGAGAGAAGCTGCTCTTCCTGGAATGCTAAGAATGATGTCGTTTTACAACCTGGTGATCCTCTGCTGTCTGGTGTTGGATAAGTACAAACATAAATTTATTATTTACATATTTATCCAAGACCTTTTTCCCTGAATCTTGAGCATTGTTTTTAGATCATAAAATCTACTCTTATGAGGGATGTCACTTGTACTTTACAACAGCCTAAGTGACTTCTATGTTATCTTAGGGCCAGGCCAATCCCGACACCCACAGGCATTATATTTACCTCAGTCAAACTTCCTAGACCCTAAATCTTGAGCACTATCTCTGAGTCAACAGTACCCATTGTGAAAGAAGCCAGATGTATTTTGTAAGTACATCAATGTAAACATGTCTTAAATTATTGTGTACTTGGGACTGAGTTCATTGTTATCTGAATGCTTTTTCAAAAATTGTATTGTGCTTTAAATATGGTTAAAGTAAACTGATGTGGGCTAGACTCTAGAAGTCCTGGTCCAGGATCAGTTACAATAAAAATCAGCTGGGCTGAGTATCATTCTTTTCTCTTTGTGGATTGTTTTTTTTTTTGTTTTTTTGTTTGTTTGTTTGTTTGTTTTTGGTTTTCCCCTGCCTGCTGTAAAGCCTGTAGGGAATCACCACACCTACAAGCCAATCTCATGGAGGCATTTTCTCAGTTACGATCCCCTCTTCCCATATGTGTCTAGGTTTGTGTCAAGTTGATGAAAATCAGCCAGCTCACATGGGAGAAATGAAACTACCTAAGCACAGCTGCCACGTCCAGCATTAGAACAAACTCAGTGTCCTCTTCGAGTGTCCTTGAAGCCAGAGGCTTTGGCAATGACCTGTTAATGAACAGAAGGATGCTACCAGTCTCAAGGTCAAAAGAGGTCACAAATGTACTTAGAGAAAGAGGTTCTTCATGTGTTATCCCCGTATCTGATTATATTTTTTACAGTAATCTACTGCTATTTCCAATACACACTCATGACTTTGCAAGGAGGCGGGGGGGGGGGGGGGGGGGGGGGGGGGGGGGTGGGCAAAGAATCCAGTGTGTTACAAAAGTCACATTTGAGCATGCTAATATCCACCTCAAGGTGCATTCCTCCTTGGTAAACACACAGTCTGTTTGCATTTAATTCTTCCACACAAGCCCCGCTAGAAAGTTAGCCAAATTGATAATCGATTCACATGGTCTTTGCTCACTCACTTATTAAAACACACCAAACAGTTAATTCCCTTTTCTGTTGGGAACTCTCACTGGCTGTATGCAGCCTGAATGCTAAACAGCCACTTAAGGCTCTAGGAATACATCAGAACCATTAGGTCTAACCATCTCAAACCATTCAAAACGAGTCTCAGAAGTCAGGGCTCTCCCTGTTACTACACTAACAGGCTTTGGTGAATCATCATTGATTTGAGGACCAAGAGATGATAAAGAAGGTCTAGAAAGGACCTAGCTGATCTGGTTGACCAATCTACTTTCTCCCTCCTACAGCTTCCACTTGGACAAAAAGGAGCGGGCAGATTTTGAGTGGCCTTTACTTCCCTAACTATGATATGGAAGCTTAGGGCAAACTGGACAATGACCCCCTACATACACACATAAATTACTGCATGACATTATTTCTGGGGAGACATGAACAAATGTCTATGTAACTCAAATCACTGATGACAGACCACACTAAGGATACCACCCAAAGCACAACTTGGTGAATCACTGAGCTTTATTGGGGTTACATGTAGAAATATGGGAATAAGAGTTACTTAAAGGAGCCTATGGAGTTGAAAACAGCTTCATCACCAAACCCTTCCCCAGCATGGGTGCCAGCTCACGAGAGATGGAAACATGAAGTGCACTGCACAATGTGAAGACTGCTCAACAGGTTGGAAAGCGCCATTTCCAGGTAGTTCAGTTGGTCTGAGTTCTTCCAGGCAGCTCTCTTGGCCTCCAGGAGCTGATCTGGTTTGAGTCTTTGGGGCAGCTCAGCTTGTCTCGGCTTATTCCAGGTGCCTCAGCTGGTCTGATCATCTCTAGGCAGCTCAGCTTGTCTGAGAGTATCTCTCCTCAGTCCTGTAGCTTACACAGGCTTGGGGAGGGCGGTGTCTAACACATTTTGTCAGTTTCAGAAACTACCTAAAACCTTTGAGTCATTTACATCCTGAACTGAATGAGATTCCATGATGGATTAAATGCTTCACCTACCTCTTAGCATCTCGCTATGTGTGTGTGTGTGTGTGTGTGTGTGTGTGTGTGTGTGTGTGTGTGTGCGCGCTAGATGAATCCACTGGTCCTAAAACTTCCCTGAAAGCATGGAATAAATGTCATACTATAGAATAAGTGTCATACCATGGGATAAGTGTCATACCTTTCAGAATAGTACAAACACTAACCTTGTCTCTGACATCATCAAATTTATTTCCTTTGTTTCCTCTCACTTATTGGACTGTTATTTATAGAGATCCTGTTGTGTGCCATGTACAGAGGTAAGAACTGAAGACAATAAAAAACCATCAAACATTGCAATATGATAGATGATACAAATAATTATTCAATTACATAATACATATATAATACACACTTATATTTACTCAATAACAATATAATTATATAAATTCAATGAGTGGTGATAGAAGTATTTACTCACTATCAAAAATACATAGAGATAATAACTAAAGCACACAATAAATGTTCAACAAAGACAAATCCCTAATAACTATACAGTCATTATCTCTAGTTAGGGTTTGTATTGCTGTCACAAAATACTGTTACCAAACCAACTCAGGAAGGAAAGGGTTCATTCAGCTTACAGTTCCACATGATAGTCTATCATCAAAAGAAGTCAGGGCAGGAACTCTAGGCAGGAAACTGGAGACAGGAACTGAAGCAGAAGCCAAGGAGGAATGATGCTTACTGATTCACTTCTCTTGGCTTGCTCAGCATGCTTTCTTATACTATCCAGAACCACCTGTCCAGGTGTGGCACCACCTACAATGGGAAACACCCACCCACATAATTCATTAATCAAAAAATGCTCTAGAAGCTTGGCTGCGGACCAATCTTCTAGAGTCATTTTCTCTGTCAAGGTTCCCTCCTCTCAGATGACTGTAGCTTCTGTCAAACTGACATGAAAACTAGGCAAGGCAGTCACTAAGCAGTGTTATCTTCTGACTCACCCACCTCAGGATTTTCTACGGAGGCTTCATAGTATACTCTAGAATCTCTGTTTAATATGTGTCCTGACACACAATTTTAGGAGTGCAAGCTTATACTCACACAGTAAAAGAAATCACTCTTGAGAGCCTCACAGAGGAAGAAATTCAAGCTAAGATTTTAAAGACAAAAGGGAATGCCAAGTGGTGGTTTATAGGACATAGAATGGAAAAGAACTGCAATTTTCCTGTGGCTTTTCACTTGACAGAAATAGGACCAGCGTATTCAAGTTAGCATTTAATAAGAAGGTCACGGGGAGCTGTCTTAAGATGCATGGCCACTCTGAGAGCGCAGAAGAGCCAGTGGTTGGAAGCACTCAAGGTTGGTTAGTTGAATAGAGGCTCTGATTGCTTCTCATCTCATTTTGTCTTTCCGCACCATCCGCTGAGCCCTTTGGCACCGCCAATGAGTGTGTAACAGACACAATGCAGTCCATGAATAAACCGATGAATACATGTCATCTTTTATAATGCTGAAGTCAGACTTTAAACCTACCTGTATTACTTCTCATTAAAAACCCGAGGTCAAGGGCTAGTTCCAACACATTTTTGCTAGGTCATTCTGTACTAGTCTTTCCTACCAGAAGTAGAGGGGGAAAACCATTTATTCAACACTGTCTTATTAGCTTTACTCATTGCTTCTACAGCTTAAGGCTCTTGTAGCTCAGTTCTGATATTCACAAAGGAAAAGTTTAGAGGAGTAGGACTCCAACTATCCTGACACTGAGACTCGTGATACTTTGAATAGGAGAATTTCTGAATATACATGATCACATCAGGCTGGATGAATATACTAATAGCAGGCCACTGTCCCAGGGTGAGGGGTAGAGGGAGTTGTAGGGCTTAAAAAGCAAGTTGCCAGCCTGGCAGTGTTGGCACATGCCTTTAATCCCAGCACTCAGGAAGCAGAGGCAGGCAGATCTCTGCGAGTTCAAGGCCAGCCTGGGCTACAGAGTGAGTTCCAGGAAAGGTGCAAAGCTACACAGAGAAACCCTGTCTTGAAAAACTGAAAAAAAAGAAGTTGCCCTTCATGAGAGATATTAAGCACCTTCTGTTAGCATGCCAAGGATGCAGAGTCCCAGAGCTGAGACGAGCAACCTTGGAGTTCACCATCCAGTTGGAAAGCCAAATAAACCTCCTCCCAGAGTTCTTTTGGTCATGGTATCTTATCACAGCAACAGTAAAGCAAATTTAGTTGCTAAAATGAATTGAGCATTATTTTATAGTTTTACTTAAAATTCATGAATATTTGTACTATTGACTTCTTGACCTATTATTACATTATCGATTATTATGCTATTAATAAAGTGGCAGCACACCTTCGATATTTTGTGCTCAACAAGTTTCTTGCGATCAGTAAGTCATAGCAAATGATATTTCGGGTAGGTGAAAATTACGTACTCTATAAAGAATCATACACATAACCTACATACATAGACATATTACATATGCATATTAAACTTTATTATGCTTTCAAAAAAGTATTTTTAAAAAAGGAAGGGCTGTGGAGGGAGAGCTCTGCACTCATGCCTGGAAACAGCCGGCTACAGACACTCATCTCTCAACCACTGAGGCAGCAGCTCTTCACCGTCCTCCATGATGCTCCCCTCCCTGCAGCACAGCAACCCCACTGGCACCAAACATCGTTACCATTAAGGAGCATGGCAGCCCCATGTGTTCTTTTCCCTGCAAATGAAGAAGATAGCATTAGCCCTGTTGTTCCACAGGTTTCTGTATCCATCTGAACACAAAAGTGTGTAGCCTAAAAGGAGACTGTTTGTTTTGGTGCAAAATAGTAGAAAAGTGTCAAAGAATGATATTTCCTGTTCGGTGGTGAAGAATGACTTCTTTATAAACCAAAATTAAATGTTTTCCAAGCTTTTATCTTTTTCTCTTGAACCCCTTTCAAGTTAAAAAAAAAAATCTATTCTTTTAAGAACCACCAAATTGATTCTAAGAGAATAATTGCTGAGGCTTGAAGGCACTACCGTATCCTGGAAACAAGCTGTACTAGGGGTGGTTTCTCAATTTTCACCCTTTTAGGATGATTTCCTGCCTCTGTGGGTTTTTCCTGGCCGGCAGTTCCTGTTTGCTGGTGCCCTGGCTCCTTCACAGCTGCTGGCTAAACAGAAGGGAAAGAGATCATTAACATCATCCTGGAAGTAGATGCAACAATGCTACTGTTCTATTAGCCTGCAACCCAGGAAAGAACAAAAACCATAGCATGAAAGGCCAGGTCACTGCTAAGACCACGAGTTACAGACGTGCTGCACTAATTCACATGCAGACTCATAACACATTATAGAAAAATGTCCAGCCTTGCCCAGTTAAACAATAAAATGCAGTTTAATAAACAAAAAGAAACCTAATGCTTTTTTTTTTTTTTCATTTTAGCCTTTTTCTTTGGTTTCGGTTTCTGGCTTCTGAAGCAGAGTCTTACTATGTAGACTGCACTGGCCTACAACTTGCTATGTATCCCTGATGAGGCTCAGGCTTGAGATTCCTCTTACATCAACCTCACAAGGGCTAGGGTTGCGGGTGTGTGCCACCATGTGGCCCTTACCCTTTTCTTACATGATAAAAACAAATGCCAGTGAGGATCTAGTGAAATTAATGGTTTCATAATATAGCCATAGATGTGTAAGTTTATAGAATTTTTCTAGAAATCAATGTGATAATATATACTAGCAGCCATAAATATATCCATGCTCTTTGACTCAGTAATTCTACTGTTGAAATCTAACAAAGATGTGGAAAAGGACATATCTTCAAATGCATTAATTGCCTTTTTATAGAAATGGAGAGATTGTGAGAAATGCACATGTATAAATGAAAAGTAGGTCAAAGTCCATCATCTGACAGGACCATTAAAAGAGCCAACATCAACATCCAGCAGAGAGTAGGTGTTCAGTATCGACTGTGAAGAAAAATGTAAAAGTTCTTATGAAATAAAATTAAATGGAAAAACTCATAGAAACATGTATAAATGCTTATTAATACAGGCAACGTGTATAAGGAAAGTGCCAACTGTCTATATTTCATCAATATGTATTATATATTTAATATCTAATATATAATTATATTATATATATTGCTAATGTAGACAGTTGGCTCTTTATACACATTGCCAGTATTTAATTCTATTTAATATATAACATATTAAATTATATTAACTATTATATTATATATAGCTATAGATATATAAACTCATTCACCTGGGTGTCAGTAAGGTAGGTTGGATGGTAGGGTATAAGATGTGCTACCGAGTATCTCTCATCCAACCTGCTTCATGATGAAAGAAAAGGGTTGGGGGAGAGGCCTTTGAGCCCCAGAAGGAGAGACAGGAACAGTGTACAGAGCTTAGGAACAGGAAGGGGTTAGTCTAGAGACTGAATCCCAGATGGACAGGGTAGGCTGCCTAGGTTGCATCTCTGCTCCACAAACACACAAACATGTTCACACATAAACACCATACATGCAACAAAAAGCAAAAGAAAAAGAAAGTGACAATGAAAAAGAAGAGGAGAAAAGGGAAGAGCAGAAAGAAAAAACAAGATGCAAAGTAATTCCTGAGCTGGCTGCTTTGTGACTCATTCTGGAGTTTCCAATCAGGAGGTCTACACAATCAGAATTCTGAGAAACATAATTTATTTCTAGCCCTTGGATAAAACCCACTAGCTTCTTTCTGCAGTCCTTTTATTGCTTTCTGATTGTTACATGGGAAGAAAATGATATTAAACAGTAAAATTGGCACACAATGTATAAATGGCGGTGTTTACAGGCGTAGGTTCAGAAGTGCAAAGTCCCACTTTCTTCCTGCCCTCCAGTCTGGAAAAGCTATCAGTGTCACTACAGAGCCATTCTCTCCAGCGATGGACATGAAAGCCAGCTGATAGTAGCTCACAGTTAATGGGTATGAGCAAGTTAAGCAGGAAATTCCCGGAGGAGCTGCCAGCAAGAGAAACATCTATTGTCTGAGACATGGGAATAACATGGAGTTGATGACTTCCACTTAAAGTACACTCTTTTTAAAGTAGCTCTCCCTCAAAGATCAAGGCTCTCTAGGGAACTGACCCTTCCTCCACATCCAGGGGTTTTCCAGAAAAGACACTACAACTGCACAGTTCCAGGGTAGCAAGAGGCACTACTGTCACAGGACTCCTCAAAAGAAGCCACCACTGTGAACACATGCTAAACACACTAAGTACTACAGTGTGCACACTCAGCAGAGTTCCTTAGAGGAATGGAACTGATAGAACGTTTACATATTATAAATGGGATTTGCTAGAATGGCTTCCATCTGATAGGTAGTCTAACAATGACTGTCTGCACACTGTTGATGCTCAGAACCCACAAGACGCCCAGTCCCCAAAGCAGGATGTCTCAGTAGTCCCAATATAGTGCTGAAGGCCTGGGAGTTTCCTAGAGAGTCACTGAACACAGTCAGTCGGAGACCACAAAGCTGGATGATGTCCGTGGAGAAGGGTAGCAGAGGCACCGGAGATGGGCACACTCACCAGCCATAAGCTAAGGCAAGTAGACAAGAAACACTGACTTTTCTTGAACCTTTTTATAGCTGTGATGCTTGTTGGGAGGTACCACCCACTGTAGGGGACTGTCTCATTGCCCTCAGTGGATACTTCCTGGAAATGCCTTCACAGACCCACCTGGAGGTGTGTCTACTAGGGTAATTCCAAGTCTGATCTAGTTGACAATGAAGATTAACCACCACGGGCTGCAAAACAGAGAGTTAGACACATGAGGTCTCTGCCCTGGACAGACTGAATTCTAGCTCCCTCGGGTATGATGTTTCGTAGTGTGTATTAGCAGAAAACTAAGAACATAGAAGCATAGTTTGTGTAGCATTACACGTAAGAGTCTAAATTTCAAGTGGTCCTAAGTCACAGAAAATTGTCTACTGTGAGAGTGAATTACTAATAAAAACAATTGTCCATTCTGAGATAGCACAGAAGGAAATGGAATAAGAACATGAGTCAGTAGCTAAAGGATATCCTGGCAGCACATATCCCCTCCAAAAGATAATAAATAAAAAATTTTCTTTATTTGAGCATACACTTTGCCCACCCTAGCAGGTGTACTTTCAGTGACTCTGTCTACAGTTCTATACCAGAATGGACCATGTAACCAAGCAGAGGTAGTGGCAATCAGCACACCTAATCCTCTATTATTGATTGGCTACTGTAATCAGCATAGGGCTGTTTGCCAGGTCCATACCATATTCATCAATTAACCAATTAACAGCACTTATTCAGAAACATTCAAAGAATACTTCAGCTCTCGTTCCCTCTGAAGATGACCTAGAGTGTTATTATTAGTAAGAGGCAGGCTTAGAACAACAGTAGCCCTGGGAAAGGGAGGCAAGAGCAGATGAAGGGCATTCCAGGGCTGTGGACTCCACATGAGTTCTGAATCAAGGAGTGTGGAGACAGGGTTCCTTGAAGATGTTCAGTGACAAGAAGCAGATGAGTTTGAATCAGGTAACTGGTGCCTGTGATGGAAGGCATCCTAACTAAAACAGTGACAACTCAGAACCAGAGAACACGAAGGAAAAGATCCAGGCCAAGACCAAAACATCTTCTGCATTCGTGACCACATAGGTTTCTGCAGCTCAAAGAAGAGAAAAGGGGCTTCATAGAGCAACCACACATGCTCTTAAGAGTTTATGGGATAGATTCACATCAAATTAACATTTTAGGAAACTTTCTGAGTCTATGCTTCTCTAAGTAACTATTTCCAACCTACTACTGATATTGTCATTATTTCAGATATTTTACCAAAATAGGTGCCTCCCCAGTCAGATGTCATTGCAATTCTGACCCCCAGAGCAGGTAGACCCCAAGAGCATAGTCTTCTGAAATACTGCATCTATTTCTATGAGCCATTTAATATATTGGCAGATGATCTGTCCATCTTTGTTTTGACTATGACGTTTGAGATTTTGTTAATGTGATACATTAAAAAAATTAATATGCGGCCGGGCGGTGGTGGCGCACGCCTTTAATCCCAGCACTCGGGAGGCAGAGCCAGGTGGATCTCTGTGAGTCCCAGGAAAGGCGCAAAACTACACAGAGAAACCCTGTCTCGAAAAACGAAAAAAAAAAAAAAATTAATATGCAAATCTAATCTAAATACCTTGAATAAGTCTAAGATGTGAAGATAAAGCAATTTTTTAAGCAACCATTCTTATTTTCCTTATTGATTTAAAAGTCTTTATCTCATTTGCCTTCATATTTTGAAAAGTCCACATTCTTTGTAATCTCCCAAGGAATGTTTGGCCTTTAAAAGCCCTGCATGATACTTCTGGTCACTGTCTGACTTTCAGTCTGTGCCTCTGAGTCACATAAATTGTAGAGAAAAGGCTCCCAAGAAACAATGGAGAAAATGAGTCCTAAAAGCAGGGACTAGAGACCCTAAATCTCATTAAAGGCCAACAAAATAAGACATTATTGAGACCACCTGTTTTCAGTTTTCAGAGGCAAGGAGAATGGATACAAGCCTGAAAAGTATAAAATTAGAATCAAGAGAAAAGAAAGACGTTCAGAAGAACGGAAATGGATGAACGCTAGGAAGGGGTGACTGGTGTGTGGGAATGGAGTTGTAGGTAGACTGCAAGAACCAACTGAAAAGTAGAAGGTTGTTGAATTGCCACAGAGAATCGATATAAACTTATAACCAACTTGAACTGTATTAGACACTGGAGTAACTCTGCCAAGAAGACTTGAGTCAGAGTTCAGAGGAAATAAGAATACTTAATATTGACATCTCAACCCAAACAACTGGGCAACTGGATAGAAATGAACACACTGCAGGGTCCTCCAACCATTAAACCAATAGAAAAAAAAACATAGTCATGATGAATGACACTGAATTAACTTGTCAAGTACGATGCCAATCATGTTTTCCAGAAGTTCATATGAACATCTCTACAACCCTACAAGGTTAATGCTGATTCCTCATCTTACAACTGGACACGAAGATCCAAGGATTCTAATAAGATCCTCATAGCCTATGGCTGATAGAGTGGCCTGTGGAGGTGGGTGGAGAAAGGGGCTGTTATACAGTATCAACAGATATTATTTTGACTACTCTTCTAAATACATACAGGGGTTCAGTTCGGTTCACACAAGAGAAAAACAAATAAAGCATAAAGATGGTTCTAAAAATCACAGACTAATTCCTAAGGCCCAGTCCTGTGCCAGGAATCAATCACACTGGCTGTGGGGAAGGATATCCAGGTTGCCTCAGATTGAGGTACAAGAAGCCATTATGGAGTCATTGTGTGTTAAGGGACTCTGAGCAGTCGTTATTTATCAACCAGCACAAAATATTTAAGTATTTTAACAACGTACGTGGCCGTTGCCCTGTACATTAGCTGGAGTGGGTCAGGGAGACCCAAAGGAAAAAGCAGGCCAGAATCAGTTGTCACCATCCCCACCACATACTTCTTCTTGACCGCCTCCATAGCAAGGAAAATGCAGCAGCACAGGGTGAGGAAGAAAAGCACGAGCTGGATGAAGGGGCCCTGGTTTATCTAATACCATGTGACCATCTGTCTCACACCTGGCAAGAACAGGAAAGTAGGAACCAAAGGAAGAGGAAGGAAGGGGAAGAGAGGCTGGAAACTCCAGAGCCATTGATTGTTTTATGTTAGCACAAAACAAGTCAAGCAGACACACCTCCTCCAATTCCTAGCGGGCTGCAATCCCATATAAGAATGAGCACAGTGAGATGGTGATAATGTCACTGGAGGAGCTGCTTAAGCAGAAAAGGTTACGCTACAAGCAAGTTAAAAGCAAGATGTGCTGTGAGTACATCTCCATGCCAATAATTAGTTCTTGCAAGATTAAGCTGAGTTCTATTATTCTATTTCAAAGGCAGCGTGTAAATGATAAATCCAGACACTGAAAAGGGTAGAAATAAGTTCACACCTTCAGACTAACCCACCATTCTTTCTGGAATTTTGGAAAATTTGGATGAGATTTGTATTGTAATTACTCTTAATTTTAACAATTCTTCCTAGAACAAGAGAGCCCTTTAGGCAGTAACGTTCTAACAGCACAATAAAATCTTTCCTCCTGAGGTTTGAAGTTCAATATGCAGGGCAAGAAATATTTCCAATTGCATTGATCATTTGAACTCTAGGGCTCCCACTCCTGAGGGCACATTTTGCTCCTCATTAACCAGAAAGGAAAAAAAAAAGTGAGCAATGTATGTCACTTATTTTAAAAGCTATTTTCCAAGGATTGAATAATTTCTTTTTTTAAAAAAATGGTCATTTTCCTCAATTTGGACATGATTTCTTCTATTTGCATGTAATTTCATAAATGATTATTGCAGATAGCTCTGCTTTTAGTCATAACCTTGTAAAGGGCTGAAGCAATATGAGAGGGAATTTGAAATGGTAAATTTTTGTGTCGAACTGTACTTCTGACCGAAGGGCACATCTGGATGTGGGAAATGACATCATAATCCCTCTGATGACTGGCATAGGTCCATGCAGATTTCATTGGCAATGATCTCTATTGGCCAGTATGATTTTGTTTATGGAGTATTTCCTAGCCTTCTATTTTCTCAGGATAATAGGCATCTTTTTTTTTATGTTTGGATAACTATCCCTGCCCACAAGAGACAACCCTTCTCTTTTCTCTCTCTCTCTCTCTCTCTCTCTCTCTCTCTCTCTCTCTCTCTCTCTCTCTCTCTCTCTCTCCCCCCCCCCCCCGCCGCCATGCGCACATGTGTGTGTGTGTGTGTGTGTGTGTGTGTGTGTGTGTGTGTGTGTGTGTGTGTATGTGTGAGAGAGAAGATGTCCTATGTCCATATAAAGGTCAGAAGCCAAACTTCAGTGCCCCTTTAATTGCTCTCTACCTGGTGTTAGAGACAGAACCTCTCACTGACCTCATCTTCATAAAGTTATTTTTAAGGTTGTTCTCTTGTGCTGTCATAGGATCATTGGGTTGCCTCACTCAGCCTTAATACAAAGGGAGGAGCTTAGTCCTACCTCAACTTGATGGGCCATGCTTTGTTGACACCCATGGGAGGCCTGTCCCTCTCTGAACAGAAAGAGAGAGGAGTGGGTGGGGGGAACAGCAGGAGAAGACAGAGGAGAAACTGCAGTTGGGATGTAAAATAAATGGGAAAAAATAACTAATAATTTTAAAAAAGTCATTCTAGGCCAGGCAGTGGTAGTGCGTGCCTTTAATCCCAACACTTGGGAGGCAGAGGAAGGTGGAACTTTTATGAGTTTGAGGCCAGTCTGGTCTACAGAGCAAGTTTCAGGACAGCCAGGGCTACACAGAGAAACCCTGTCTCAAAAAACCACACACACACACACACACACACACACACACACACACACACACACACACACAAGTCATTCTAGAACCTGGGATATGGCACAGTTGGTAGAGTGCTCACCTACCATTCATGAATTCCTGGGTACAGTCCTCAGTGCTGCATAAACCAGCGTGGTGGTCCACGCCTGTAATCGCAGAACTTAGGAGGTAGAGGGGGAAGCAGGAGCTTCATAAATTCAAAGTCAGTCATGGCACATAGAAAGTTCAAGAATAGCCTAGGATAGGTGAGGACCCCCCCCCCAACTCAAATAAATAAATAAACAAATAGACACACAAATAAATGGACAATTATAGATGTCAGTATGGTGGTAAACATTTAACAAATCAACTCACTGGTAAAGAAAAACAAGCCTTGATAGGCAGCCTTTGCAAAATTCTATGATGCAAATATGTCTGCCTTGGCTGATTTCACATAAGTTACTGGCTAAACACTGGGTTGGGAGGGGAGGCTATTAGCATTTAGACATTACCTGGCCTGCCACTTGGGAACCTTGCCAATAAGCAGGCAGTACCTTGGCCTGCTTGGGGTCCTGACAATGACATGCTACATAGCCGCCCCTCCCATTTGCTAGCTCTTTTGTGCATGTGCTAAGGCCCCTTTAGGAGGTGGGCTCCGCCTACCTTTCTCTCTCTTCTTCTCTTCCCACAAGGTCGTGTCTGAACCTCCTCTCTTCTCCTTTTCCCATCTCTTCCGTCTTTTTCTCTTATCTCCAGAGGTGCACTCTGCGTCTCTTCTTCCCTTCCCTTAATAAAATCCTCCACGTGAGCGCTGTCTGCATGGTACCAGTGAGTTTCCAGTCTGCCCTTTGGCCAAGGCCGCCGCCCATGGTTTTTGAAATACAACAGATGCTAACTTACAAATGGTTCTCATTAGCTGGTCCAAGGTGGTCCTAGTATAACACATTTTGAATTGAGTTGCATTAAAGCTTATCTTATTATATTATTACATACTTCTGAGCACCCACTATCTCTAAAATTAGAATAACAACTAATAACCCAACCCTATGGGGGTACTGAGAGAATCAGGTATGATGTCGCACACCCCGCACAATGCCTGACGATGTGGACTTTGAGTTACTAACAGTGATTATCACTATTGTTGTTGGCTTTGCTGTCGCTGTGATTAACTTTGTTGGATTAAGAGTCTACGTTTTGAATGAGAACACCAAGTCCTTAAGAGTTGTTGCCAATTTCTGCAATGACCTTAAGTTTACGTTTTATGAGCAAGTTCTTTATTTAGTATCCTCATCATTGAAACAAAACTCTAAACTATTTTCAGACCCTCAAATTCTATAAGGACTATATAAATTCTCTAGAGCAAAAATATGTGTATGTATGGAAAAGACAGAGTGGTGAGCAGGGAAGAAAGTGATCTTCCCACAGGGTTGGGCCACCTCTAAGAAGGAGGTAAGCCATTAAGCGTGAGATCCAAGGATGACAGTCTCTTGGGCCCTCTGCCACTGGCATCTTCAAAAGCACATAAAACACAGCCCTAACAAAAAGCCTCAGCCTCTGCTCTGAAGTAAAACATCTCAATGCCTTGCTGAGATGAAAGTAGATGAAATGGATAGCACTGAATACACAGAGAGGAGGCCGAGTGCTTCCTGTTTGCCATTTAGCCTAAGAGCAAACTAAACACTAGACCAGGGTCAGCTACATCCCCCAAGAACTTACTTCTCTGTACCACTGCAGATGGTGTGAACTTCATGTTGCTTTCCTTACCTCCTTCCTACTCCCTCAACATAGACACATAGTCACACACACACACACACACACACACACACACACACACAGAGAGAGAGAGAGAGAGAGAGAGAGAGAGAGAGAGAGAGAGAGAGAGAGAGAGAGAGAGAGATCACCTGTAATAGCAGTAGATTCAATTGCATATTAAGGAATACATGAGAGCTGATTTTCAGTGACATCTCAAGTCTGTCCAGTTCACTCTGGACCACAGAACTAAATCCACTTCTCTTCCTTTTTAAGAGAAAGAACCAACCAAAAGGTGGGGCTGGAGCTGGAGAACACAGAGATGTATTAACCTAAAGCAGATGAGACAAGCATTTTTAAAATGTATCTGATTGATTTTCTTTTATATATAAAAGCATAAAAGAGGGAAAGAGATAAGAAAAGATCAGGATGAGAATGGGGAAGAGATTACAGGATGCAAGAGAGGAGAGACAACACAGAAGGAAGGGATAGGAGGAACTCATAATGGGTGATATTTTAGTGTACTGTTTGCTCAGGGTGTCAGAAGGCTGAGCCCAGCAGAGCCTGTGAGCCTGTTGCTGGATACGCTGCAACTCTAAGCAGTTCTCATTGTCTTCAACAACGCCTGGGATGGCAAAAAGACACATGCACACTCATGTGCACACACCCTCAAATAAAACTTGTCTTCAAATAAACCTAGAAGGTAGGGAGAAAAATAAGCTGCCTGCTTGCTGTATCCCATTTACAGTCCTGAAACACCAGAGCCAAGTACCAAGAATATTCTGGACAGATTAATCTCTGCCAAGGTCTATATAAAGATGAAAAAATGCAAAATTAAAATGATTCCGTCACTAAAATAAAGAGTAATTACTTATGGGAGGAAGAAAACCAAGTAAAGTTGCAAGGGAATTCTTGGATTTCATGAAATGCATGAAAGCGAAGAGATTTTCTCTAAGATCTGTCAGATAAGCTGTGACTCTCAGACCGCAGACTCAGTATCTGATCAGGACCTTTGATCACCTCTCGCTCGGGCTGCTCCTTATCACTGCTACACAAGATAAAACACCCCTAACACACACACACACACACACACACACACACACACACACACACACACACACACACACATGTCACAGTCCCCGTAAAGAAACACTTGCAACTGCTTGGAAAATGGGCTCAAGATTTAGCACCAGATGATTTGTGCCTTGCTTAACTCATCTTGGGGTCTGGAAATTAATATTTGTTTACTGCTTAAAATACACCATTTGCGTATGAAATTGTCATCCTTGAATCACCATGCCATAAAGCCACTCTTGCTGGGTAAAATCAAATGGAGAATTAAGTTCTGTTGTCACAAGCCCGGGACTATCCTTACACTCAATTTAACTACTTTGATGGAATGGAAAAGCACACACTTAAACACAGTGAAAATTAAAGATTTTTATTTTCTTGTCTGAGTTATCCCCAGACAGCCTCTGGAGTTTAGCTTGCACTTTCTACTCTACAATAACAACAGGCGCCTACAAGGCAGTCTGTCCTAAACTCACACTGGAAAACAAAGGAGTAACAGCCAGTGACCGAAATAAGAATTAAAGAACTAGAGATTAGGAAATCAGGAGGAAAGAGAAGACAGAGGGTTTGTCCTTCTTGATAGTCAATAAATTCATTGGGTCGCATCCACACTCAAGCTGTGCATTCAGAAAAAGATGAAAATGAGAGCATTTCTCCCCCACTGTCTTTCAAAGCAGATTACAATGTGCATATGACAGGACCTGCAAACAGAAATACGAAAATCCCATTAATGTGATAATGATATCCTGAGTGACCTGAACAAACAAAGGAGATTGGAAGTTTGGATGCAATTTGTCCATAGATAGCTTCCTCTCCCGGGTTTCCTGAGCACCTCGATTGAAGGGTTTTAGAAAAGGCTGCAGCTTCCTGTCTGTCAGAGAATCCCCACAGGAAGAATGCATTCAATAGAACATTATTTGAATTGTGCTCTTGGGTTGTTTCCACTTTCCATTAATATATATATATATATATATAAATATATGTGTATTCATGTGCATATATTAAGATATGTATGTGCATATACATATGCTAATATGTGTACATGTATTGTTCCATTAACATGCATACATATTAGTATTTTATGTCATACATATTTAATAAAGTATGTATATATCAATATGTGTATGTGTGTATATTAATATATGCACATTAATACATGTTTATATGTATCTAAAAATTAATATATTTGTGTGCGTATATTTTGGATCCCATGTATTAGTCCATCAGCCCTTGGATCAGGGGTCTGATTTATACAAGGATTTGGGGTAAGGAATTTGTCAGAAGGAACGATGCAAGACAAGGAAAAATTCACAGAGGATACTGTGAGAGGTGCTGGGCAGATGTTAGGCACGTATTTCATGGGTAGGAAGTACAGTGGGAAAGGTCTGGTCGGGGCCAGGCCTCAGAAAACAGGTTCAGTGGGAGGTGTCCTGAGTTCATGAAGAGGAGATTTCCTACCAGGCAAAGTCACAGAGAGACTCACACGGAACTCCAGAAGAGTGACTGTACTCTCAAGAAGGAAGCCTAGCTCAGCTGTTCACCAGCTCTGAAAAAAAATCACCTACCACAGGGAACTGCCTCAGCGGTGCTTGTACCTGCAGAGAAGTTTTCTCCTGGTGATTAGATGAATTATGCTCCTAAACAGTACGGAAGATAATGTCTGCAAATTATGCTGAGCTATCCCTCCTACAGTGTCATCATAGTTCAAAGCGTGTTACACGCCATAAACAGATACAATTTTTGTCAATTAAAAATAATAAAACAAAACCAAAAAAAAAAATGATTAAATCAATTAGTAAATGTAAAGTGCTTAGAATAATTCCCAGAACAAAGGGAGCACCCAGTGAACACTGGCAATTACAAACCCTTTCAGCACATTTGTTATTCTGTTATGGGAGGTAGAAAAACATGAGCAGGTAGAATCCAGCCATGGGAGCGAAATGTGTCTATTACGATGCCTAAAAATGCTGGTGACTTTAATAAATTAGATTCTCTCAATCAAAATACTTGTTTTAGTGGTAAAAATCAGAAAATGGGGATTTATTCAATGTGTACACATTGGGGAGAATTACAAAGAGATCTAGTGATAGCCCATCCCCTCCTCCCCACACACCTCAAGTCCACCTTCAGTGTCCTGATGTGAGGATATATTTTCAATAGAAGGCAAGAGAAGGGCATAACTAAGCAGTCATCCCAGGTTAATCTTCCCTGTTATTGGCTCTGCTCCAGGCCTCTCTTGCAAGGGCATCTGACAAGTTGTAAATCCTCCTTCAAGAGACAAGTTCCCCCTTTGACTGCCCTCAAGGCTTCAGACTTTTCCTCCCCATGAGAATGTTCCTGGGAAAATTCGACTTCATTGTTTCAACAGTCTGATAGTCAAATATCCAGGCAAAAGTGTCCTTTAGAATATATTCATTCATGAGAAAGCCCGTGACATTCTGCATCCTTTGTCTCCTACTTTGTAACATCTCAATCCTGAGGAGTAACATGCTGGAGTCCTCAAGGACCACCACAATTGGAATACAAGTAGGAATCAAGGTTAGAGCACAGACAGTTTCTGCCAGGCTTTGTGCCCAGGAAACATTCTCTATAACCACTTAGCTTATACTTACGTTTGGAGGGGTTGGCATAAGCAACTCTATCTTGTTGGCTTGAGATAGGTTCTTGTCATCAAATTTATGATCCTCTTGCCTCAGCTCCCAAGTGCTAAAAAGTAGCCATTATATACTATTTATTTGCTGGACAATTACCTACTGCTTTAAGGGTGTAAACCTTTTATTTTGCAATACTACTAGGAAGTCTGCTGTGTTCATGTGCTTTGTTGATGGAAGACAAAGTATTCCAATGGACCTCTTCCCAGGACTGCCTGCTCTTGTACAGAAGGAAGACAGAGCCTCTTCCTTGACCCCAGGGATGTCTTGGTAAGTTACTCCTTAAGCCAGTTTGTGACTTAGCTCCCTGCCTTACTTCTATGTGCACAACATAAGCCACAGCAATAGCTTGTTTCCTCAACTAAAACTAGCCCATGAGTTAAAGCTGTGACACCAGCAAAAGAAGCTGCAGCCCTCCTCGGACCCACTACAGACAAGGTGTGCTTTAACCAGCTTTCCAAGCAATTTCCATGCGTGCTCTTAGCACAGCTATACCAAAACATTATGCTTAATCTGCAACAAAAAGGACCTTGCCCAAGGTCAGAGAGCTGGTGAGTGAGGCAACCCAGGGCACCACCATGTCCTAATAGTGCCCTCCCGTCTTGGCACTATCCTCAAAGTGGGAGGGAATAAAAAGCCTTTGAAATTAAATTATGGAAAAAGTATCAAATTCTATTTTAAAAGTATTTATAATAAAAATGGCAATTTTCTCAGTTTCCAGAACCAAGAATATTTTGACTCTCATATCAGCTAATCAAATACTTCAGAAGCATTTCCAATGCATAAAACCACCAGATACAATCTGCTTCCCCCTAAGAAAATTCAATACATAAAATTCTGCTTACAAAACAGATGAATCAGAGTTTCTGCTTTACAAAAGAATTTGCCACCTAATTTTTTTCTTAAAAAAAAAAAAAACCCAGCTCCCTGATACTTTTGCACAGTGATTCATTCTGCAAAACTTTTCATATACATGCAAAATTTAGGTGTCACTTCAACTGTGATGGCATTTTAGTCTCCCTAGAACCGGATCATTCATAATCCTGCTCATTAATCCTGTGCTGTTATATTCATCATCTTCCCAAACTGAAAATTCAACTTGGAAATTCCAGGAGGCACTAAGAGTCATCCTAGTCTCTTGGGGCAGCAGCTCTCACCTTGTGAAGAAGCATCCTGAGGGGATTTGTTGAGATGCAGCTTGCTGTACCCTGCCCATGGGATGTCTAATGCAGGAGGTCTAGCGTGGGGTCTCAAGATTTGATATCTTAAGCAAGTTCTAAGAAATACAATTTGAGAAACATTACTTAGGGAATTTCCTAGTTAGAAGGTGATC